CTTGCATAATATCAAGTGACATATAATTTGATATAAATAATTCTTTTGACATGGATAAAAATCATACGAAAAGTCAACCTCATTTTTAAATGGAATGTTAAGAATTTTATGTAAAATAAATTATTCCTCCTTGCAGTTGATCTTTGATAATCTTGAATTGTATTCAACAATTATTTTTACTAGATAACGTTCTAAAAAATTTATACAAACTCTACACGTAAATTATTTTTCAAAATTTAATCAGACATATTTTTTCCTGTTACCAATAACAGATATTCAAATGTATAATCGATTATCTACAATTTTATATACTTTTGACAAAATACAAACAGCTAAATACCGAGCATGAAGTTCTAAACGTTCTTTTATTAACAAATTATTCAAACATTTAAGCGAACTAAACAGCCAACCAAAGGATCAACGTAAATACCCACTTCGTTTCCTTTTTTTACTCTCATCCACGAATGTAAACCGAATAATCGAGAAACTACTACAAAAAAAAAAAAAAAAAAAAAAAGAAATAAACAGACAGAATATCCCGACGCAAGTCCATTCACATATTAATTTCCTGTTTCGATGGAACGCCATTCGATTTCGATTCCCATTAAAATCTCGTGCACCTTCGCGAGAGTGTTTCGCGTGAAAGGAGCATAAATCGTGAAACTAAATGGACTTTTAGTGGGCATGTGTTTCAACGCCATTTCTATATCGATATTCGTTTCACTGGATGGAATTTATGATTGCTTCGAAATCATTAAAATTAAATTAAGCAACACACGGCGGAATACACTCTCGTTGGGATTCGGTTGAACGGACATTAATAATAGAAAAAGTTCGAATTTGTCGATGATTTGTTTCATCCGACTTAGTTCTCGAGTTTCTATATGATCTATGATGGTTTCTTAACGATGATCGATTTCTTGTCGATTCCATTTCTATTGGTTCGATTCCTGTCGATCTCATTATTATTGATTCGATTTCTATCGATTCGACCCTATTGACTTGATCCTTGATTCGACTTTTATCGATTTGACCCTTACGAGGTGAAGGCGCGTGGTCCAGAATTTATTTGCATTAATGATGCAATTGTAAGGTAAACGTTGGATGGATGAAAATAATTATTGAATATTAGAATTATTATTTTTTCATTATCACTTTCAACTTGCTTTTATTAGCTACAGGATTTTAATAGTGACAACTATTGACAATGGATTTGTAAAAATTTCCATATTATATTTGAGAATCTGATAATCAATGTTTAATTATTATTATTGGGATAATATTGATTACGTTTTGCAAAATGAATAATTTATTTATTTTAATTTTGTTTAATTAAATGTAATTGAATTAAATGTACATTAAATATATCATTATAGCAAGTAGTAGTGAGCATTTCTTGAATTTCATTTTGTTAGAAATGCCATATTTTATTTTTAAAAATTTCAGTTTTTAAGCATATAAACTTTTCTTTTTTACTTTCAGTTTTAATTGGAGATATTTTTCAGGAAATATCACTAAACTAAATTCTAATATCACTAAATAAACTAATATTAAAAAAAATATTAATATTAATTTAATATTAATATTAAAAAAAGGATTTAACTAAAAGTTAATTTAATTATTTTTGCAATTTACTATTCCTAATTATTGCGTAATAACATTGTGTATATTATCTAAACAAAAACTGAGAATCAAGTCAAGAACATTGTGTACGAGAATGAAATGATTCATAAAAAACTTTCTCGAAAAGTCCTGGAATGAAGTAACAATTCTGATTACGGTATAAAAGTTTTAACAAAAATTTTAGAAATTTTTTTCAAAAAGATTTATCACTAAAAGTTTTTGCGAATCTCATAAAGGATGTTTGTTTGTAAAAAAAAAACAATTTATTATGAAAGTTAAAAAAATGTTTCTTCTTGTACATACATAAATATTTATGATTCTTTATTATTATAAAATTAAAATTGCGATATTTCAATTTATTGCATTTTATCTTAATCACATTATAATTAAAGAAGGAAATCAATAACGAAGAATCAAAGACAGCTACTAAATTATATAAGTTTTTTTTAATTGTGTTGCGTTTCAATATAATTTATTCTTGACAAGTTCTTTTTTGAAATATTTATGATTGAAATGTAACGATAAATTAATATATATAAATAAATAATACATAACAATAATAATAATAAATTCAATCTTAAGATTCTTTCTTTTAATTAGCTAGTGCCTATCATTTTTTATGAAGGAAAAGATATTTAACACACATCCTTTGAGAGAAGAAACTTGATTATTACATGATTATAATCGCGAAATTTAATCTTATTAATATTACATTAATTCGATGAATATTTATTTTAAAGAAACGAAATAATTATTAATTCATGTTGAAAAATAAATATGTTGATTCGTCACTTGAATTGCCAATATTAGAATATTACATATTAATCATCCATTGATAGCTAATTTTCTCTTCAAATACGAACGATTCATTCCGTTTTAGAACGGAATAGAAGGTGTGTGGACAAAGTGACCTTGGTTCTCGTTACGTAAGCCTCCTCTTTTTTCTCTCTCTCTTAATATCATCGTAATAACTCGCAAATGGAAGACATCGCATAAATGAAAACTATGTAGATCCATGTCACGAATAATCGTGATGTAACGTTAATTATGCGCTTTCTTACACTCATTGCGAAAGGGATGCGTGTACAACCTCTAACGTGTTCTCTATTTTTTGTACGGTGACAATAATTTTATATTTTTATAAAAATACGTTCTTTAATATCCAATTGTTCCAATATTAAAAAAAAAAAAAAACGAAAATCTAAAGCAATACGAGATCACAGGATCCATTTTGACAAAGTGATCCTAGAGATCATTGGATTTATTTCTTCGTTTTTACTAACCAGAATTATATTACATTGTTTTTATATTTGCTACCAATTATTAGTTATTAATGAAAATTTAATTATTAATGAAAATTATTAATGAAATTAATTAAATTATTAATGAAAATATTGTTATAATAATATTTTAAAAAACAATTCTATTAAAATATTGAACGTTATACCAAAAAATATATTTCTGATAAAGATCCTAGGGACTCTAGAGAATCTTAGGGATCACCAAATACGAAATTACTATTAGTATTATAATATATATATTCGACACGAATCGTTATATATTAATGAAATAAAATTCTTTAATTATAGAAAATTTCTAGAATAATGTATTTTCTTCTTGGAAAGAACTAAATATCAACTGATGAAACTATTCGTTTTTCTTCCATCAAAAATAACTTCATTTTGTTAAAATAGTGGAAGTAAAGTTCTCTGCTGAACTTTCTAAAAACAGAATTAGACACGGTATTCTGGGACTTAAGAATGATTAAGAGAAGACCTTACAAGCACTAAAAACTAATTTTCGCGCATAATATCGAGGATTGCCTCGGCGATGAACATTCTAGGTAGTCTTACTAACGAGTCTATAATCAGATAAAACACACTCTCATTTTCTTTATTATCTTCTTTCTCTCGTTCGTTATTATTACAATCTCATAAATTAATTTTTATCTAAATATTTAAATATTTTAATATAAAGAGACAAAAAAAAAATTATATTTTTACACTTGTTCTTAAAATATAGATTACATTTATAATTTTATATTTTAAATTGCTTTGTATGAATTTCTTCTATTAATATAATTATAAGAAAGATTCTTAAATGGAATTATATTGGTATTGAATTTGCTAAACGAATCACTTGAAAATCAAACTTTATTTTTTGAAGAATTAATCAAATTAAATATTATTATAATTAATCTTCTGGAATTGATCAGTTTAGTTTGATGATACTATTTATTATTATTATTACACGCCTGTATGAATATCACGAGGGAATCTATTTATCAATAATGGGTCATGATCCATCTATCCTATTTTCGTCGACAGCACATAATTTTCGTTTAATGAAATAATTCGTAACAGAAACGTTTGCAATTGAACGTTTTGTCACAGTTTGATTAATTTTATTTCTGTATTAATAATTTTGTTATATGTCATTTATATATTAATAATTTTTAATTCTATATTTGTTTATATGAACATATATATATATGCACAATTTCAATTTCGAAGTAAAAACAATTCATATCACGATTTAAAAATGAAATAACATATCCATGTAGAGAAATATGTAATATGATTAAATTGTCAGGACTTCAAATCCAATTTGTTCATTTATCGACTAATTGATCCTTAAATTGAGTTATAAATATTTTATTTAATTAATACAGATTTTTTCATCGTTATATGTATCGTATATTAGAAGATTCGATTTACTAGATTTTTTAAAAAATATTTTCAACAATCATTGTTCGACAAACGTTTGATATAAATAAAAATTAAAAGATTCAATATATGTATCTAATAAAAAACTATATATATATATGTACTTGTTTTTTATACAAAAAATACAAAAATTTTTATGTATATATATTTCAATTTAAAGTTACTTTAATTCTTCATAATCTGACCAATTATTATTCTTAATACAACTTACATTAAAATACTGTTATGAATTAAATATTCATAGAACCCAGATGAAATTTCATACTTCTTTGAAATCTTTTGACGTGTTACAACTCGGATAACTATACGGAAACACCACGTTCAATTTCACATCAAAGACGCACACGTTCCATCGTATGCACAAAATAACATTAACGTGATTCAATATTCAAAGAATTATCAACAACGAAAAAAAACTTGGCAATTTTAATCATTACACATTTTGCACGATAAAAGTCAAATCTTCGTAAGGTTCAAAACTTCTTAATCGAAAAGAAACGGAGAGAAGATTTTTCGATAAAAAATTATTTTTTCAAAACCGAATATTAACCGAATATTCTCGATCCACATTTCTGAACATAACCCCAATCTTTTCTGCCCACCCCCAGATCTTCGAAATTACAATTTTATATTTGCTATCGTGACACTCACCGAACAGTCGTTGACGTAACAGAAGTCGCCGGAAGCTGACGTCGGTACCCAAAGATGTTCTCCATTAAGCGCACCAGTACCCCAATCGGGCGTTGATCGGGGTTCACGGTGACCACCACTCGTTCCACCCTCCTCTCTCCCTCTGAAACGTGCAAGACACTCGATTACGAAGTGACACTTCGATATGCCTCGGTGTGCTGTTGCAGTTGACGTTAATTCCTCTACAGAAATTCCATTATGACGCGGACAATGAGTGTACGTTAAGAATGGATTTGGATAAAAAAAGATAATAGCGATTCTCGTAGGAACCTCGAATTTACATCGATGAAAGATACGGATACGCGGAATTGCATCGTATTTTGGGATAAGATTTGTTCATCGTTCTACGGAGGAATTAACGTAACAAACTGCACAGTTGACCTGTCATAACACATCGATTCGAGTCACAACGGTTAGACGACACTGAAGTAAGCGGGTTTTTATCGATTTCATCATGCTTATCATACAGAGCGACGATTCTGTCTTATTAGGCTTATGATTGCGATTAATATTGCTTTTCTAATTAAAATATATATACGTGTGTATTTGGCTTTATTTTTCCAACTTTTTTTTTTTTTTTTTTTTTGAGACACGATTTCCTTTTTTGTAATTAATTAAATACACGCGAGCGATCCTTATCACACGTAAAAATGCTTTTTTTTAATTAATATATAATAAATGAGTATAATATACATTTTGCTTTCTGAATTAAAGACTTAGAGAAATAAAATATTAAAAATTTGTAACGAATATAAAATATTTTATTTTATATGATATACTTTAATATCTTTCGAATATTTAATAAAAATGGCAACTTTCTATTTTTTAACTTTTTTTGAGATCTGGTTGGAAATTAAATTATATGAATATTAATTGTATATGTGTCGAGTGAAAAAGCATTTTAACATGAAATTTGTTTGATGAAGAACGATAAATTTGAATGAAATTTTTTCGAATCCATCACGTATCTTCCTTTATAAAATAAAATAACATTATATAGTCTCATTATTTCTTTTCTCATTTATCAATTGATTTCCAATCCTTCAAAAGCGAAAACTTTATTTCTACTTATATTTAAAATAACTTAATTTAACATTCAAAAAACAAATATTCTATGATTTATTTTTACATAATTTTTTCAATTATCCCATACCTTTATAAAATATTTAAATAACTGCCCATTCTTTACATCGTTCATATCTAAAGTAAACAAAATTTTTTTTCTTCGTGGTAAAATGATTAAATTTGAAAACATAACCAAATGATCATCCAAATATGATGTATAACATAATGTAATTATATTATAATAAATAAATGTTATAAATATGACAATAGAAACCTGATAGGAAATAAATAAAAATTCCAAATTCGATTCGCCATTTTCTTCACACACTTTTTTTAAATTTACAATCCGTTTGTACGATAGAATTTCCATTATTCGAATACTTTAAATTGCACACTATCTTTACTCATAACAAATACAAACATGTAACAGTAAATAAAATTTAATTTGAAATTGACGTTAGACATATTCACATAGTATTCACTTGTAAACAATATATTGAAATTATTGAAAAATTATTGAAGGAAATCGAAAATATTGAAGAAATTAGAAAGCGATGGATCTTTTATAAAATTGATAAAAATAATATTGGAAAATCAATTAAATTATTGGCATTAAAAGAAAGAAAAATAAAAAATTAATCATAAGATGCACATTCCTTTATACAAAGTGCTCCATAATAAATGATGCAAGTGAGATTAGAGAGATTCTATGCTTTGATATAATAATAACATAAAAATATAGAATATAATTTTTTCATAAGCTTTATTTTCGATTTTAGATTATTATTTCGACTAAGTTTGAAGATTTTTCAAATACAAGTGAAATTAATTAATTTTTTAATATAAATGTACTATTTAATATAAATGTAACAAGTGATTATTCTACATGCGAACATGTGTTTAAATCCTGGTTTAAAAAAAATATTAAATCAAAGATGAATTTTCCAATTTTTAAAGAAAAAAAAAAAACAAATTCCTATCCTATAAAAATTAACTAATTTCATTTATACAATTTTCAAATTTTTTAATTTACTCGAAAACGAAATTTCTCGATCAATTTCATTATTGATTTTCCTCCATTATTAATTTCGAACCTTTCTCTGCTTTCATTTGTATCATAAATCATTGCATATATATATTATTAAAAATATTTGTTAAATAAATAACCTAATTTCATAATACAAACTGTCCTTCACATCCGAATTCTTATATCAAGAATCCCATTATCCGAAATAACTTAACCTAACCTTATCCGAAAGATTTTGTTTCTTTATTAGTTCAGATAATGGACGGTCTACTGTATAAACAACAAGAGCGAATTTCGAAATTAACCTATATATTTTTTCTTGCTCGACAAGACATAACCTAACCTAACCTAACTTATCTTCTCTCTCTCTCTCTCTCTCTCTCTCTCTCTCTCTCTCTCTCTCTGTTGGTTCGAATATTGAACGTTCTATAAACAACAGAAGCGAATTTCGAAATCAACCGATATTAACTCTTCCTTGCTCGACGATACGACGCGTCTTCGACGTACGACATGTTCGACATGAAACGATACATCAAAAAAAAAAAAAAAAAAAAAAAAAAAAAAAAGAAGCGGTTAATACCGTGTCGTTGGCAGTGGTGAAAAATTGAAGGACAGTTTAATGTTTCAGAGGCACGACCCTTAGCATAATGCGCGTCACAGCGTGCAACTTTAATGATTAAAAGTCACCCTCGGATTCCGCGTTTCCTTTTTTTTTTTTTTTTGGAAACGATTATGTGTAAAAATTTTAGGCCGTGTTCGCGCAAAGCCGTCTCTCGTGCAGAGTTGCTTTCTGCATAATTAGTCCGCGGAAATTGCCGGATATCTGGGTCAAACAGAACGGGACAGAAAGATGGGAGCGCGAAATGACGTAGTTTCACCCCCTTCTCCCCCTTCCCTTCCTCTCCTCCTCCTCTTTCGTGAATTGTAGGTATAGATATCTGCTGCGTATCGAATCCTTTTGAATGTGAAAAATCGAAATGTTTTCGAGAAATGTGGAGGTCTCGTTTATACGTCACACGAGAGGAAATTACTCGTTCGATCGTGTCCGATTGATATACTCCACCGTATCCTTTGGTATTTGCATCTCTTTGTGGGATCAAAGAGAGAGAGAAAGAGAGAGAGGAGGGTGCAATGACGTTTTTCTTGTTCGTTTTCGTCGAGAGTTTTGCTGTCGTTTGATTCGCATGGAAGGATTAATCCTTGAACACAGATGTGGTGAATTTTTGTTCTACGAGAAACGGATCAAAGTGTACTTTTATCTTTCTTTCTTGTTATAATAGAATAAGAATGAATATTAACGATACTTCTTTCGAGAAGGAACGACAACCGACTTTATAATTTAATATTTATTAAACGAAGTTAATAAAAAATGGAACGGCTCTTCCATGAAAAACGTAACATAGACGTATGTCTATCTACAAAGATACGAATATAGAGTGTCAAGGTGGCTAAACATAGATTTAAAAATTTTTCTTTTTTTTCATATAGATAACGATGAGATTTTGTAGGAAAGTTTAAAACTTAACTTAAAGAAATTGTATTGATATTTAAATATTCAGTTTTCGTGATTAAAGATCAAGTTTTTTCATACTATCAGTAATTTTTATAAATTGTATTTTTAAGATATGTAAAAATAAAAATTCTCTAGAAATGGCAATAATACTTGAATTATACGCCTCATAATTATCTTAGTTAAATTTTCGATGTAAGGAAAAAGTATCTATATCTTGGAACGGAAGAGTTCTTTTGTACTTTCATCTTTAAGAACAATAGAATATATCAGTTTAGTCACATGTTACCTAGAATGAAATCATTCAACACTTATCTTTAAAAAAAAAATATGATAATAAGTAATAATTTTTATTATTTTATAAAGATTGGATTATTATAATTACAAGCTTAATTTAATAAATAAAATATAACGTTTTATTTTCATTTATATTGCTAATCTACAAAATATTTCAAAAATAAATTATATAATTATTTTATTTTTCTTTATTTTTTCTCAAAGCTTATAAAGGATAAAGCTCTAGAAGATATACTTGGTATTAAATTATGTATAATTCGTTATTCTATATTTGATATTCCTAATTTTTTCAAAAATTAGATTATATTTCTCGAGAATTTTTGAAAATTTTTAGATTTGTATTTATTAATTTAAAATAATATTGATAATATTTATTAAGAATGCAAGAAAACTTTAATTCAACACTTATTTGTATCTAATTTATTTAAATTTTGTTAAAATGAATAAGAACATTAAATATAAAAAAAGATATTGAATAATAAATTTATTTATGTAATACAAAACTTCTATAAATAAATCATTATTTTTTTTATTTTAAAATATAAAATTTTTTAAAAGGCACAAATATTAAAATATAAAATCAGACTAATTTATTTTCTTTTTTAAAAATCTCTAGTTATAGAAAAATTTTGTTTTGAATAGATGGATTGATTGTACACTAAATAAATGAGAATCATAAAAATTTTTCTAGATTTAAATTTTTCAAAAAACATTACAATTTCTCGAGAAATTTTCGATAAATGTTATCTATATTGTATTATTTCTATATATTTTTATATAATTTTTTTTAATTATTATTCATAAATATTCAACTAAATTAATACCAATATTACATTTTTATATTTTATATTTTTATATTGGATTATATTTTATTATCGAAAAATTTTAATTGTAAAGCTAATTTTTTTACTATTTTCACTGTTTTGCGTTTCCATCTTGCTGAAAAATTAAAACTTCATTATATATAATGAGTAATTTAAAATTATTTTTTAAGATATCTAAATGTTATTCCTTTTACATAATTTATTCAGTTTTTATTGAAGTATCAAGACATTTGTATGATTAATTTGTACGACAATTCTAATATGTAATGATCTGTCTTCAAATTTCATGATTTGTTTTACTTATGATCTACTACTATTAATAAGATCTACTAGAGAATTTTCCATTTAATTTAAATTTTAAATTATGTTTGTCTCATCAG